CTCCATTGTGTAAATATTTCACATTTTCTTTATCCATTCTTTGGTTGAGGGACATCTAGGTTGTTTTCAGGTTCTAATTATTAAGAATAATGCTGCTTTGAATACAATTGAGCAAGTGTCCTTGTAGAAGAAACCAAAATAATGCAATGGAAAAAGCAGAGCATCTGCAACACAGGGTGCTCGTCTAACTGGATGTCAGCATGCAGAAGAATGCAAATAAATCCGTATCTATCACCCTGCACAAAACTCAAGTCCAAGTGGATCAAAGACCTCAACATAAATCCAGATACACTGAACCTGATAGAAAAGAAAGTGTGGAATAGCCTTGAACACATTAGCACAGGAGACACCTTCCTGAATATAACACCAGTAGCACAGACACTGAGAACAACAACAATCAATACATGGGACCTCCTGAAACTGAAAAGCTTCTGTAAGGCAAAGGACACTGTCAATAAGACAAAATAAGGCAGCCTACAGAATGGACAAAGATCTACACCAACCCCTCATCTGACAGTCTGATCTCCAAAATAAATAAAGAACTCAAGAAACTAGACATCAAAAAACCAAATAATTCAATTTAAAAATGGGATACAGATCTACACAGAGGAATTCTCAACAAAAGAATCTCAAATGCCCAACAGACACTTAAACAATTGTTCAACATCCATAGCCATCAGGAAATGCAAATCAAAATGGCTCTACAATTCCATTGAACACCTGTCAGAATGGCAAAAAAAAAACAAAAAAAAACAAAACAAAACAAAAAAACCCACTAATGACAGCCTATGTTGGAAAGGATGTGGTGTAACAGGAACACTCCTCCACTGGTGGTAAGAGTACAAATTGTACAGCCACTTTGGAAGTCAGCGTGGCAGTTTCTCAGAAGTTGGAAATCAATCTACCTCAAGACAAAGCTATACCAAAATTGGGCATATACCCAAAGGATACTCAATAATAAACATTTTCTTTTTTTAACATTTTTTCATTTATTTTACATACTGACCACGGTTTCCTCCTTCTTCCCATTCCCTCCCCATGGCTCCCTTCTACCCTCCTCCTCTCTTCCCCATCCACTCCTTCTCTGTCTCTATTCTGAAAGGGGCAGGCCTCCCATGGGCTTGAACTTACCATGGGACATCAAGTTGAGGTAGCACTGAGATCCTTTCCCTGCATCAAGGCTGGGCAAGGTAATCTAGCATGGGGAACAGGTTCCCAAAAGCCAGCTAAACACCAGGTACAGTTACTGATCTCACTGCTAGGGGCCTTACAGGCAGACTAAGCTACACAACTGTCACACATACAGAGGGACTAGTTCAGTCCCATGCAGGCTCCCTAACTGTTGGTCCAGGATCCATGAGTTCCTACATGCTCAGGTCAGCTGTCTCTGTCGGTTCCGCCATCATGACCTCGACCCCCACAGGCTCGTACAATCCCTCCTCCCTTTCTTCAGGAGGACCCCCAGAGCTCACTCAGTCCAGTGCTTGGCTCTCTGCATCTGCTTCCATCAGTTACTGGATGGAGTATCTCTGATGACAATTAGGTCAGTCACCCAACTGATTAGGCACCCTCTCCACTATTGCTATGAGTCTTAGCTGGGTTCATCCTTGGTCACATCTAGGTCACATCTCCTAGTACCATCATCATGACAGTTAGGATTTCACCAAGTGATGGGGGAGGGCCTGGCTGTTTAGGCTACTTTCTACTCTCTAATCTCATATTTCTGCTAATACAGGTGATACAAACCCAGAAAATGGCAAGCCACGGGGAATTCTGTTCAATATTCTTCAGTCAGTGCTTCTCAGGGTTGAGCCAACAAAGCAATGGGTATCTTCCAGCGTACATGTATTCCAGAAATTGTTGGAAATTGCATCTTAAAATTATCAATTTAAATTCAATAGGCGTAAGCTAAACTACAAAATCCAAAAGCCTAAATGAATAGATGTGATTATGAAGGTACACAAAACAAAGAACAGAGGGGACCCAACACGTGTAGTAGAAGCAGATGGTAAAAAAAAAATGGAAATGGAGAGCAACCTTTATAAACCAAAACCATGTTGTGAAGGCATTTTATATGGCCCTCCCTCCCATTGTTACACCTATGCTGAAACCAATTTAAAATCCAAAGCAAAATGAATATGCTGTTTCTGTTTCATAGTTATACATTCTTATTATCTTGCAAATGAATTCATCTGTCTCTTCCAGGGTGTTGCCTCCTCAGCCTGAGAGTGTCTTCCTCTTAAATAGTTCTCAGTCTACTTCTCTGGCCACTGCTACTTTGCACTGAAGTGCTCCAAACCCTCCCCGTTTCTTCCAGAGTAAGTACCACTGCCTGCAGCAATGCAAAAGGCTACTTACTGGTGATTGGTGCCTGCTTTTTTCCATACTCAACACTCATTATTCTGACTTCAATGACTTGCAGGTATTTCCTGGAATGTGTCCTCTGGTGCATTCCTTCATGGCTCAATATACACCGTATGAATAGTAAGTATACTTGTGTCTGTCTGGAAAACTTCTACTCTTTGTAAGGTTTTGTGCTCCTATAAAGTTTGCTTACTTATCCTGAGATAGAGTCTCCCTGTATAATTCAGGCTGGCTTCAAGATCATAATCCCCTGCCTCAGACCCCCAAGTACACTGGCCACCATGGCTGCCTCTATAGTCCTTACTGACCTTCCCAGATAGAATGGCACACAACTTTCCTGAGGACTTTGTCTGTGACACACAGCTCTGTTGAGGCACCTACCACAGTATAATCACAGTGGTGTGTGTTTCTGAAGAATGTAGGCCACATACATCCATACAACCTCTGTGCCTTCATGACCCGGCACAGCTCCTAACACACAGGAAGGCGTGTGTACATTTGAATACCTAAAATGCCTCAAACAAAGATTACTTTTGTTTAAAAGCAGGAGGTTCCTGTGTCGGTTTATATTGTTAATAATCTCGTGGATCCAAGATTTGGTGTCTACTCAATGTGTGATATTCTTCCGTTAATGTAACGAGAACTTATTGACTATTTACTTTAACTTAGACATGGTAGGATAATGACTGATCAACAAAATCAGAAATGTGCTTTATCATAGAATTGATAATTTATTGAAGATGTTCGGGCACACTGGGACATGACTGTAATACCCTTGCTCAGAAGTCTGAGGCAGGCAAATCAAAAGTTTGAAGACAGTCGGGGCTATTATATAGTGAGACCCCCATCTCAAAAAACTATTGAAAAAAGTTCTATTGTTCTTATGAGTTATTAAATAAAAGATAATATATTTTAGCTTTGGCCTTCGGTACCAACGAGACTGTCCATGATACAAGTCTTTCTGATGTGTGGGTTGCTGCCTATCAGCTTACTTTTCACTCTTTCTTGTTGATTTGTCTTTTGTTCTCCAGTCTAGAACACTATCTCAGTTGATAACTACAATAAACCAAGAAAGAAATGTGCAAAAGACTTGTACATCTTATTTTAATCCAAGCAAAATGTGGCCTTTGGGACTCCATGGAGGGCTGGGAATTTATCAATGGCCTTACAGTTTTATCAAGAGTTTCTGCACTGACAGCTTTATCTAGTTTCATGTTAACAAATGAGATGCAAAAGAAACACTCAAGAAACAGCAAAACAGGATCAGATGCTTGGACAGGAGGGCCAACTTGTAGGCATTGATGGGTTATTGAAGTAGACTCAAGCAAATAGCAGACTGCTGTGAACCAAGGCCACACAAACTCCTATTTCAGACAGTGTGGTGAGAGGAAAGAAGGAAGCTACTGGAACGAGCGTTTTGAAAGGAGAAAACAAGAAACAAAATCCAAACATAAACCCAAACCAAAATATAGTTCCTATGAAAATCAGATATTAGAACGTTTGAAAAAAAAAAACTCAAACCAAGTTCCTACAGGTTCCTAGAGATCTGCTACCTTGGCAGGGTTGGTCCTTCTTTCTTCTGGGCTAAAGTTAAAACCAAGGGCAGGTTTAGAGTCAAGTAGAATAGTGATACCCATTCAGGTAGTTATGCCAGTTCAAAGGCATAATAGTCAGCACTACATGGGGCTGGTATTATTTTCAAAATGTTTAAGATGGAGGTGAGGGAGACTTATCTTTCTTAAATCTGGCTATATTGTGTCCCTCCTGACCCTTAGCTGAAGGTGATTACTAATTAGCAACTGCTGAAGAATAAGATGCAATTTGTGGTGGAGACATGCTGCCACAAGGGTTAAATGTTGAACCCCAACTTTAATATACAAAAAAAGCAAAGTACACACAATGTAAATTTGCATTTTCACTTTGAGTCCAAAATAGTAATCGCCTGAATCAAAGCTAATTTGATTTGCTGAATTGACCACTTTGAAAAATAAAAGGTTTTATAAAATGTATAGTTCTAGGACAACCATCAGCAGCTAATATTTTCTCCACTTTTCTGAGGAACTTAAGATGGACGGTTTTCTTGACTGTATTTTAAAAACAAAAACTATGAGGCCAGGGATGCAGTTAAGGCGTAGAGAAATTGCATAGCATGTGTGAAGTGTGGGGCTGCATCACCAGCAGCACAAGAAAATAAAGGTTGTAGGTCAAGTGAGTGGTGCTTGAAGGAAATGGAAAAAATATACACCAGGTCATTTTACACCTTTTCCCAATCCCAAATACAGGTCTCTCTGGCCTTCTAATAGGCTAATATTACAAAGAGTCTGGGATCTAGATGGTCTGGGACTCCTCTGGAGTCATTACTCTGTCCGTTAAACTTAACCTCAGAAAAGCTAACAGATGCATTTCATCTACAAACTGGTGTCAATAACGACTATAAAACTTGGGGCTTCTCTCTCACTTAAGAGCAGCAAATATCGTACACAAATGGGTATTCCTGATATCAAAACTGGATTGTGACCTCACCCAGAATTATAATAGCTTTACCATTGTTGGTTGATTGCTTGGTTTTGTTTGGTTTGTTTGATGGAAGAGGATTTCTGTACTGGTTTGGCAGCCAAGCAAGGCCAAAAAAAGCCTTACTCTGGCTTCAGGACAGAAAGCAGTTCATCTCCGAGCCCTGGAACAGTTTCATAGCCACTCCTTGGAACTGAGTATGGATCATTGCCACTCACTGATGAAGAAAGGCCACTGCCAAGCTCTCTGACACCTGCAACTCTTGACTTGACTGTCTCCATCAGCCCCTCTAGAGATCTGAAGGTGGACGACTTCTTCACGTCTTCAAGCTTCCTGCAGATGGCAGAGCCCACCGAGGATAGGGCAGATGAAGTCTTTTGCTTCATGCAGGTGTTGGAGGCCTGGACATCATGCCAGCTCTTGGACAGATTCTGCCTCAGTCCCATCAAAGCCATGCATCCTAACTTCCTCCTGAGTTCCCCACACTGCTTCTCTTTGGCTGCCAGCACACTGCGTAATGTTAGGATCTCTTCCTCCAATTTCGTGAGCTCAGATTTGAGCTCCATTAGTTCAGCCTCGGTCAACTCTGGTTCTGAAGCTGGGTGGGACTCATATGTGGATACAGAGGACTGTGTCATGGCATCTGGAACAGGCAGGGAATCGTCTTCATCCAGGGAGTCCAGGTCCAGCTCTTGGTAGAGCGAGTCTAGTCCTTGGTTTGTGGAGAAGTAATTGGGGCTGGTGGAGTTGCAGTCTAGGCCTGCAGGGTCAGAATTCTCGCCAGTGGGATAAAAGTCTAGGTGAGACAGGTCCATATCTTGGGTAACAAAACTCATTGCGCTGGCTAGTGAGTCTAGGTCCTTGCCAGAGGAGTGGATGCTTTGGGTGAGGATCCACTTCCGGTTGGTAGGGGTTGGGTGGGTGAGGAGGTGGAAGCTAGAGGTGGGACTTCCGGTCCAAAGGGCTGCCAGTCATCCAGCACCTCTCTCCATTGCAGACTGCTCTGTGGAGGTGATTCAGTGGGTTGTTTCTGCATCACAAAGACCTTGTGAGGTAGGCAGAGCCCAGATCATTATTGAGAGAAATGCCTTTTCCTCTAGCAGTAGTGACATAGGCCAGGTGTTCACACCAAATTGTGTGGTGCCCCTTTTCTACACACGAGTGATTTTTCAAACCCTCAAAGATCACTTCGCTGATAAATTTAAGAGGAAGCCCAGGACATAAGTAAATACTTAGGATGGGGTGTGGAGCTCAAAACTTCCATGCTTGTCCGCCTCCCCATATTCTTCACCCAGGTTTCCAAAGGAGCCCGGAGAAACTGCGTGAACTCTCCCGATAGATTCGAAAGTACCACAGAAATCAGTAGTGGGTAATAGAATCGCAGTGAGGTATCAGCAGTGTCGGAGGGCTGCAAAGCAGTGTTCAGAGAGTAAGTCTGGGCAGCCGCGATGGCTTATTCTGAGCGATGAGTGGAAGGGAAAATTAAACCGGTAATAGTGATTTTTGTTTGTTTGCTGGGTTTGGGTTTTGCTTTATTTTGGAATTAGGCTCTTTGAAAGCAAAGACTAAATTTAAATACCGATGTTGTGTTTTTCTTTTCCCTACCTGCATCTTATTCATATTTCTGAAAGCATGTCTGTCTACATTTAATGGTTGCCAGTTGTGGGAGCTGGTCTGCTCAGCAAACCAGAGCCAATCAGATGGAGTCTGAGAGGGCAACCCACTTTTTCCCTCAATTCACCCCGAGTTTGTAACTCATAAGCAGAGGGATCAGAACACTAATCCAGAAAGGGAATGTGTCAAGTATCACTTAGCTCCTTGTCTGGTTGCCTATTCCCAGGAAATATCCTTGATCAAGCCTTAGACCCAGTGATCTTGTTGAATATTCTGCTCATCTTTGCAAGCATGGCATTGTGGAACGTAATACATCCCTCCAGATACTGAAGGAATTGTTTTGTTTTGTTTTGTTGTTGTTGTTGTTGTTGTTGTTTTTCCAGACAGGGTTTCTCTGTGTAGCTCTGACTGTCCTGGAACTCACCATGTAGACCAGGCTGGACTCAAATTTACAGAGATCCACCTGCCTCTGCCTTACCAGTGCTGGGATTAAAGGTGTGTGCCACTACCGTCCAGCCAACTAAAGGAGTTTTCTGTACCTGTGACTGCATCCAAGCCAACTTTAGCCCTCTCTTGGGTTTATATTCAATAACCCTTTCACCCAACCTGGTACTGCTTATAATTTTTTTTAACCTGGGAGGGTGTGCTTCCCTTGTTTAAAAAGGATAATGGTTTTATTGAATGTATGAAAGCTGGTGTGGGATTTGACTGTGTGTAATGAAGTTCTGAAAAGTACAGCATTATGTGCCTAAACACCGTTTTGTGACTGGATAGACTTTTCCTCCTTTGCCTGTTTAAACTCTAGTGGTTTCAAAAATACTTCCAGACTCTGACCTCTCTCTGCTCATCCAAAATTGATAAATAAAGGTTTTTAAAAAAGCAAAAAGGCCCTGGATTAAGCTAGTTAACATGAACCAGACATTGGTCATTCAGAATTGATATTTCAAATTACCAGGTCAGAATTTCCATCTGAATTTTTCCTCCTTGGATTGTTTTGACCACTAACCTTGCTGTCCATTTTCTTGTGTTTATGTTTCCCCACTCTCAATTAAAAACACAATTCTTTGTTAGTTTTGATTCCATCTGATGCAGTAATGTTTTTTTCCTCATAGGAAAACTGGGTTGGCCCATTTCTTTTTTCTAAATTAAATTTTATTAAAACTAAAAAGATCTTATTTTACATACCAATCCCAGTTCCCTTTCCCTCCAGCCCTCCCATTCCCCCCACCAAACCCCACTCCCATCCCCCATACACGCCTCTGGGAGGGTGAGGCCTCCCATGGGGGGGGGTCATCAAAGTCTGTCACATCATTTGGGGCAGGACCTAGGCCCTCCCCCATGTATGTAGGCTGAGAGAATATCTCTCCATAGGGAATGGGCTCCCAAAACCCATTCATGCACTAGGGATAAATACTGGTTCCACTGCCAGAAGCCCTGCCCAAACCCTGCAACTGACATTCCCCTTTAGGGGACCAGGTTCAGTCTTATGCTGGTTCCCCAGCTGTCAGTCTGGGGTCCATGAGCTCCCATTTGCTCAGGTCAGAGAGTTGGTCCATTTGTAATAATTGGTTTCCAGAACCCAGATCAAGACAGGGCATCTCAAAGGAGGGATCCTAGTTGGCAATGTTCTCATCTCCTGAGCAAACCTAGATAAATAAATGGAATAGAGGAACAGTCTATTTTGTTAGGCTTATGTTTAACCATATCCAAAATATTTATATTTTGAGAGAGATCTATGAAATGAAATTTCATTTAGTTTACAGGGCTTCTAATCAGTTGTTTTCAAAGCTATCCTTTTAAGGTGTAAAAATAGCACACAGTGAAACAAATCTGTGTGATATAAAAAGACACAAAACTCCTCATCAGAAATAGCAAGCAACAACAGCAATCAATTCAGGAAACTAGTGGCTTTTCTAGCCTTTATTTATAACAAAGCTGAAGCTGTTAATGATCTACATTTAGTAAATTATTTACCTAATAAGAGTGATGGGTTTATCAAAGTCCCTCCAAATGTAAACAGTAAATGATAATTTAAATAAAAATTTCTGCTATGTCTAGAAACCTATTTTATTAATAAAAATTCTTGAATATAAGTACAAAACACCCCCCCTCAGAGATCCATTCTATCCAGACATTTGACTAAAATTTCTTCTTTACATACTGGGAAAGGATAGCATTATGGAAAATAAGCCTGACAAAAGAATGTAGATAAAGCTGGCCTGTGAGTCAGAAAAGGCTTGGTTCATCACATGGAGGAAGATATAGGTTGCTTCCCCTGTCAAAGACAAACTAGCTTGGCATGTTTCTCTACTTATGACCTAGAAATGCAGAAAATGCTCTAGAAGAGATCTGGGGCTGGGCACGATTCAGATTGCCACTGGGTTCTCATGACCCTCTCCAACCTATACTCTGCTTGAGCTGCATGCCTTTCCAGCAGAGGCATAGACCATGCTGTATCCGAAGGAGCTAGTGGCATGTTTCTGTATGTCTGACTCATTAGTAAAAAGGAAAGTTTATCTACAGACTATGCAGATCTTGAGTACCAGGAGACTGGGTTCTGTAAGGGCAGGGTTCAGAGTAGTGGCAGGTATCCTCTGAAATGACTGGGTAAAGGGTGTTTATCTGCCTAAAAAGAGAACTGAGATACCAGAAGGGTTAACCCTGAGTAAAGAGGACTCCCAGAAATGACGAAGAGGAGATTCAGAGTGGGGGCTGTGTGTGTGTGCATGCATGCGTGAACAGTGTTTATATGTGCCTGTATGCTAAATTCCTGAAGCTCAGCATTGAAGGGTTAGAATCAGCAAATTGGGGCCAAATAATTCTGACTTCCTTGTATCTAAGGCTTCAGGTGCCTGAAGATACAAAGGCTATTAATAGAACTTCCAAACCCTTTAAAGGCTATAACGCAAAATCCCCCTCCATACCCTGGACTGCACTCCCTAGCAGCTTAGCTATTCTTGTCTTAAAACTGTCGCCTTGCTATGGCAACGGCATAATAATTACTTTACTTGCTCAATCCTGGGGCACAATCAATTATTAGGCACATCTTCATTTTAGTAAGAGGTTTTTAGAAGGAAAGCCCAACAGTATTAAGTTGCACATTGATTTCTAAGATGAAATCCTGATTTGGGGGATGCTAAAATGCCCCAAAATGGGTATTTTAAAACTGGAGAACTGCAGTAGTGATCAGTGGCTGCAGACATCAACACTGCTGTCTGGTTCTACTGCAGCTGAGGCCGGGCTGTCATTCTTCTTCCCATCCTAAGAGAGAAGACAGACGGGGAAGTGCTTTCTCTTTTCATCTATGCCATAATAATAAAACTAACTGAAGAAGAATAAAATATATTGATATTTATGCATGAAAATGCCACAATGAAACCTTTTATTTTATATGCCAACTTAAAAAATTAAAACAACAACAAATAGAGGCAGCTAATGTTTACTGACTGTGCCCCAGGAATTTTTAATGTTTTCACTCCTAAATATTCTTTTTTTCTTCTTTCCTTTCTTTTCCTTCCTTTCTTCCTTTTTTTTTCTCTGTGTAGTCCTGGTAGACCTGGAATTCACTCTGTAGACCAGGCTGGCCTTGAACTCAGAGATACACCTGTCTCTGACTCCCAAGTGCTGGGTTTAAAGGTGTGCACCACCACTGCTTGGCTCAATCCTAAATATTCTTGAGAGTGAGATATAAAAATACTATTAGGGGCCCAGGAGATGGCTCCACAGGTAAAGTATTTGCTGAACCAGTGTGAGGACCTAAGTTCGAAACCCCAGAATCCATGTAAAATCTAGGCTCAGTGTTTCTGCAGCAAGATGAGAAGTGGAGACAGGAGAACGCCCTGAAACTTGTGGGCTAGCTAATTTGGTATATGCAGCAATGAATGACAAAGAAGACACCCTGCCTCAAGTAAGGTGGAAGGCAAAGACTGACATGCACAAATCTATACTCACCTACATGAATGTGCACCTGCACACAAACACATGCATACATCACAAATATACATATGTACATCATACATTTTTGTAAACATATACATCATACACTTTTAAAGTTTTATTTCTGTTGCTGTGGAAATACCATGATCAAAAGTAACCTTGTGCAAGAAAGGATATATTTGGCACAAAATTCCAGGTCACAGTGTATTATTAAAGCAGAAACTTGCAGACAAGCCTTCTTGATGTTCCAGACAGCTTTATCTCT